GGATCACTGTGGTGGACAGTAGGGTAAGTCACCTTCTCCTTGTAATACCTATGTCATACCTTTGTCATTATACAAATGTATGTCCTCATTTGTCACAAAAACGCGCACACACACACACATACATATTCACCTGCCATCTCTCAGGCTGTGGCACATCCACACGTATCTCGCAGCAAGTGCTGCTGTCTGTCCCTCTCCTAATACTATCTTTATTTGTTCTGTTTCACTAATGGCTGTAAAGTTCTTTATTAAGTTGGTGAATTTGTTGAAGTAGAGGTTTCTTATGGATATGTATTTATGACAGTGAAGGAGGAAGTGCACCTGTCTATCTATCTATCTATCTATCTATCTATCTCTGTCTCTCTCTCTCTCTCTCTCTCTCTCTATGCTAATACTAATACCCTGTAATACTACTAATAATACTGCGGTGATATACAATGGTACTTTGTCCAAAAAAAACAAAAAACATGGAATTTTTCTTTTAGATCAATAGACAATTTGTTGCATTGTTGACTCTGAGCCATCGCTCTTGTTTTGTGTGATGTGGTGTTGACAGTAAGATGACGTCGCTCACAGAGGACGTGCGGCGCAGCGCGATGCTGTGTATCCTCACCGTACCCACCACCATGACCAGCCATGACCTCATGAAGTTTGTGGCTCCCTTCAATGACGTCATGGAGCACATGAAGATCATCCGGGACTCCATGCCCAACCAGTACATGGTGCTGGTCAAGTTCAGGAGTCAGGTCAGTTACTTAACCACATAAAAGAACAATTACAATTAACTGAAGTTTGACTGCGCAGGATCTTCAAAGTCCCTAGTCTGTCTGTTTGGTGTTCAACACAGTTCGTCAGAAAAACACCTTCATGCATTTTCTGGTAAAGACTCATTAATTGCTGCCTGCAGCTACACTTTTCACAAGAAGTTGATTTGCTTGATTTACATGATTTGCAAAATAAACTCATGCAAATTAGCCTGCTGAAGTTTCTTTGATTTTCAGTATTTTATGAATTGACCGTAATTGTGTTTTTTCATTTCTTTAGGCCGATGCCGACAGCTTCTACACAGCATGCAACGGCCGTCAGTTCAACTCCATTGAGGATGCTGTCTGCCAGTTAGTCTATGTGGAGAGAGCGGAAGTCATCAAATCTGAAGAGGTAAGACTCTGGTGCGTTAGTTAGTAGCGTTTACCAAAGCAAGTAACCATTATGATTCGAACAAACCACCAATGATGTGTCTGAAATCACACACTGTCTGTCTAGTAGGTACTACAATTGGTTTGAAACTTACTTAAAGGAACACTCCACTATTTTTGAAAATAGGCTCATTTTCCCAGTATGTGATATTGACGGCTAGCGGTTGAAATGGGTACTGCAGTCCAAATTCAAAATAATGGAGAGAGTTGTTTCTCCCGCCGCCTCCTTCTCAGACTCAGCGCTCACACGGGTTGCCAGATTAGGAAACTCATCAGAACAAACGCAACTGACAATGGAAGGCAATAAGCCTTACACTGTTAGCTGATGAGGTGATTCATCCGTGTTTTAATATTCCTCTGGTCGTCAAGCTTTTTAGATGGATGCTGAGGCTTTTTAGGTCGTTTAGAATCTGCGATCTCTGACCCAGAGATCGTTTGCTGGTTTCCATGGCTTCAATACACTGTGATTTCCGTGAACTGGCAACCCGGGTGTCAAAATACTATTGGGTAAATTGGCAGTGGGCGGAGTCACACAGACCAAAACAAAAACAGGCATACTGACACGGAACGCACATTTCACAAGTAGAATAACTGACTGTAGCGTTGTTTTTCATAGAAACAAGTATGTTAACATGTTTTCTTAATATCTGCAAACATATTTTGGTATTTTTATGCTTTTGCACAGTCAAAATATTACATACAGCACCTATAACAACTGTTACAAAGTATGTTCTATATAGTATGAATATTGGGTAGTATGAATTAAATTCGGATGTAGTGCGTCTGCCATCTTGTTATTATCACATGACCTACCGATGTCAGTTTCGCCGCTTCACTGCCATTCATAAATCCTGTCCCATGGCTTCATGAGATAATAGCGTCTATCGACACTTCACACTTTACGCCTACCGTTTTTCAAATACTATGAATTCGGACATACTTTTCTAATGGTGTACTGTTTTTCACCTACTATATAGTATAGAATATATATATATAACCAGCCTTAAAGGGTTAGTTCACCCAAAAATGAAAATTAGCTTGTTATTTACTCACCCTCAAGCCATCCTAAGTGTGTATATGACTTTCTTCTTTTAGACGAATCCAATCGGAGTTATATTAAATAATGTCCAGGCTAATCCATGCTTTATAATGGGAGTGGATGGTAGCCCAAAATTTGAAGTCGAAAAAAATTGCACCCATCCATTATAAAAGAAGTCCACACGGCTCCGGGGGGTTAATAAAGGCCTTCTGAAGCAACGCGATGCGTTTGTGTAAGAAAAATATCCATATTTACAACTTTATAAACCTTAACTTCTAGCTTCCGCTGTCGTACGCACTTTCATGAGAGAGTGGCGTCCAGCGGATGATGTAGGCTACCATACACTCCCATTATAAAGCATGGATTAGCCTGGACATTATTTAATATAACTCCGATTGGATTCGTCTAAAAGAAGAAAGTCATATACACACTTAGGATGGCTTGAGGGTGAGTAAATAACAAGCTAATTTTCATTTTTGGGTGAACTAACCCTTTAAGGC